ATGTTCTGTAATCACAAGCCAATTACCGATACGTTTGGTACGGTACCAATGGGCCCACTGTCAGCCTCTCAACAGCATCAGCTACTAGAATTTTAACGGTAGTGAAAGATCATTATCGATAGTTTGAAGACGACAAGTATTAGGACAGCACGACTGATACTCTCAAACTCTCATAAATAATCTAGTTCATTTACAACATTTACGGAGCTACGGACAGTTTGGCCTTCTTGGGCTGATGCTTCGCGCAGAAGTTCTGCTTGCTTTGTGAAGCTGGTCGCTTGCACCCGTCGAATGCGCACCGCTTACCCCCGCCATGGGTCCAGCACAGACCCTTCGAGATGGTCGTCTTCTGGCAGTTGGTCACCGAGCACTTGGTACCGCCGCCGTGCGACCAGCACAGGCCTCGCGACTTGGCGCCGCGCGTACAGCCTTCCACCGTGCAGAGTGTGGAACCGCCATGTTTCCAGCAGAGTCCACGGTGCTTGGCGCTGGCTGTGCAGCCGGGTTTGGAGCATGACTTGCCTCCACCGTGGCGGAAGCAGAGACCGCGGTCAATGGTGTAGTTGGTGCATCCGTCGATGCAGCACTGGCGCGCCGCGCGCTTCTCTTTGGCCGTGAGCTTGCGCTTGGGGCTTCTACGCTGCTGTTTAGGCGACGGTGACTGCGTTACGGACTGCGGACTGGCGCAGGCGCTTATAGGCGACAATAGAGCTTTGTTGTCATCTAAAATGAAGGCTAGCGAGAACTTGGGCGTACTGGCCGCGGGTGTCGTTGGCGTCGACGCCTCGTCCCGGAGATTGCCACTGCGCGGGCTCAGGGCGAAATGGGTCAACACTGTCAGTGGGGGCAGCGCGAAGCTCGTCATGCTACAGCTAGAGAGATCGATTGACTCTTGCGGGCTCCGAGGCGAATCGAGGAGTGTCGATCAGCGAAGCAGGCCATTGGTCTCACGTGGCATTTTGCTGTCAGGATCGGCCTGCACCCGCACTGTCTAACGCCGCTTTATCTGGGCCTATCCAGTGGACACAAAAAGCAGCTGGTTCGGGCAACCGCTACGAACAGCACAACATATCCTTTTATTCCCACCCTTGGGAGTCACTTGGAATTTGTATGAATTTCGACGATGTGCTCGGCACGAACAGCATGAGATGACAAAACCCGTAGCATGGGCGGGTCCCGCTCGGATTATGCCGCTCTGCGAGCAGTGCTTAGCGAGCACTGCAATCGTAACAAGAAACAGCATGTGGGCTGCTCTGTCCAAGTAGAATATGTATCGAATACGGCTTGCATTTCTTCACGGGGCTCTCGCTCATTGTTGTACATGTCGGACAACATCCCGACCTATCGTAGCGCATCTGCAGCAGATAGCAGCAGCTCGCTCAATTCTCGGTCATGCACGACGTGCATTGCACGTGGCTGGCGAAGAGCCACATCGTGCGGTTCGCTCCGTCCAGAGGCATCTACCATAGATTCTACGCGTACTTGACTTGAGGCCATTGGCTTCAAGCCAAGCATTTTCGTGCAGACGGGATCTCGCCGCGACAGGATACTTTGAGAAGAGCCGCGGCTGCGGCGCTGTCGCACTCAGCTGCATTTGCAAATGTATCCCAAGGAAGGCTTCCTCCTGGGAATGGTAGGGATGTGAGCACCCCGCAGGTGATCGAAGATAAGCATAATTCCTCTTTCCACGTGCGTACTGCCGTGAAGGATGCTATAATTCATAGCGCTGCAAAGTGTCTTCGTCAGTCGATTGTCACAACGCGCTGACAGCGACTTGTCCTGCTTTTTGCTGTTTGAAAGCAGTCGTTGCCAGAAGCAGTATGCCACAGCGTTTCTGAAGCTAGAAAGTACCAGTATGTATGTCGGCAGTAAAAACGAGTCATTCTGGTTTGGGCATCAACATTTGTGGACAGGATTATGATCCCGTGGAAAATGGTCGGACTATATTGCAAATTACAAACTGGACGATTTCCTGGCAATTTCATTCGCGATTTGAAAATGGTCGAATAGTAAGT